GTTGGCATCGGAGGAATTGATATTTATAAAGCCTTTTGATCTTGATCTACTTCTACCAAATCCATATTTAAATACACATTTTTTATATGATTATAATCATTTAAAAAAAAAATTTTTACATTACACTATTTCTATTTTTTTTCTTCATGATCACGTGAATCTACTGCTTCCAGAACCATTAAGTGGTAATGACCAAGACGAAGAGGAAGAAGGTCATATGCAATAGTCAGAAATGGCTCCTGCGTATATCGAAGACGATTAAATTATTTATTTACTCATTCACGGATTGCCGATTATTCCTATAATAATAATGGAATTTTGCTAAAATTTATTAATATAAAGGATTAGTTGATAGATATTATTACTATTACTAACATTTCATTACTATAAAAAAATATTTTACTCTATTTTTCTATATACTAATAAATTGAGAATTCTTGATTGGTTTACCAATTTGATCTGCTATATATATATAACTTAAATTTTTTTTTTTAAAAAAACCAAAATAATGTATTCAACACGCTTTGTTTCAGGCTCTTTATTAAGAGCCTCCAATTTTATCTTTAAAAATCAAAAACCTAGAGTATTTATGAATAGGTCATTTTTTATATTAGCAATAAATTCAATTGGGGGTTGAGAAAATTTTATTTAATTATTTGTATTAAATTTTAGTTTAGGTAGAACTGTCGGATCTTTGTCACCTGAAGGAACTAAAAATGACAAGGATGATTTTAAAAGAACTGATGATGGTTTTAAAGGAACCGATGATGATTTTGAACGAATGTTAAATCGAATTAAAAGAAAAAAAAATGTAGAAATTCCTGTAAAAGAAATAATAATAGATGAAGACGATTTTAATGGATTAAAAGAACCAGGTTTTATGAAGGAAGAGGGTTGTATTGAAGTTCTTTTTAATGAACACAGACATTATGCCAGAATGCGAGAAATAGTCAAACGGGCGAAAAATCAACTTAATAAAATGAGATTTGGAGTAGCAAGTTCATGTATATAAATATATTATAAAATTTTTTCTAATTATATATTAAGCAGCAAACAGCAATAACTATTGGAAATGTTCTTTTTTGTTATTCGACACAGCTATCCTTGATTCATTAACATTTGAATACAAAGGTAGAACATTATATGTAAAAGATGTTACCAAGATTACTGAAAGTCCTCCAGATACATTATTGTTATATGTATTCGATGAAGAGGTAAAAAATCAGATGAATTAATCGATTTTAAAATTTGTATTGATTTTTTCCTTCTCATTATTCATCTGTATATATGTTTGTAGAAATTAGACGCAGTGATAAAGGCTATATACAATTCCAATCTTGATGTAACACCCAGAGTCCAAAAAAATAATATTATACTTCATTTGCCAAGGCATGTTTAGAAATATGTTTATTTCTAATTTTATTATTTATTATTGTTAAAAGGTAATAAACAAGTTTTATTATGTCTTTATCTTTTTAATTAAAGAAATACATCATTATCTCCGGATCAAGTCGAGTATAACGT